CTCTTCTCTTGAGTAGCTCAGAAGCAAGTTGCCTAAGGGAGACAGTGATCTCCATCAGACAGCGCTAAGGAGAGCTTAGGCAATCCAAGAGGGCTTCCTGTAGGAGGCAGGCCTTGCAACATGAATGTCCCAGGCAATGTGAGTGGTGGCAGCAGGAGCCATGGGCCAGGAAGGCCTTGGGTGTGTGTGGGACACCAGGATTCTAGGTTCTCTGGGACAGAGAGTTCAGTTCCAGTGAGGCAGGAGTGGGCAGTGGGGGAGTGTGGGGGTCAGCACACCCCCCAGGTAGCCTCTCTCCTTGGAGGAGGAGGAGGTTGCTGGCCAAGGTGGCTATTAAAAGCATGAGATCAAGGGGCACTGAGTTGAAATCCTTTGCCACTTGTAGATTGTATGGCCTTTTGCCTAACCTCCCTGCCTCTGTTTCCTTGTCGGGCAAATAGGAATCTTGGCCCCAGACCTCAAGGGGCAGCTGTGCAGATTCAACAAGGCAAAACTCGTCAAAAGGGGACACTAGCCTCCCTGGCCATCACAGGCAGCAGCCTTAAGCTGGCTGATCCCACAGGCGAGGGGCACAGGGCCAGGAGGAAGGGCTGGATGAGGGAGCTTTTGCAATTTCCCCAACTGCTCGGGCCTCCCTGCTCCTGGGCGGTGATGAGCAGAGCCCCAGCCTGGAGAGAACAACGGAACAGTCACTTCCTTCCTCGCTGGGGTCCTGCGAGCTGTGGTTGCCAGCGGGGGGCGAGGTGAAGCAGCTGTGCCCTCCATCCCCGGCCCCGCCCTGGCTCCCCTTGCTTGCCCCTGGAGCCTCGGTCCTGCCCAGAGGGGTTCTGGGGCCACACCCTGTGTCCCTACACCATACAAACAACCTTCTCATCACTAAAGGCTCCCAGGTCTCCCCTTGCTTTTCTTTTGGCATAACCAGAGCTCATTTTCCAACATGCGGGGACCCTTGTCCTTCTAGAGTCCTTCCTCCTAACTCTCTCTTGGCCCCTGGCCTTTTCTGTCCATCCCTGTGGCTGCCACCCCTGGACCAAGCAGCCACATCACTGGTCTCCTCGCTTTATATGTCTGGACTTCAAAAATGACCATCGCGGGTAGGGGTATAGCTCAGTGGTAGAGCACATGCTTGGCATGCATGAGGTCTTGGGTACAATCTCCAGGGAAAAATAAAAATAAAATTAAAACAAATTAAAAAAACCCCACCATGACTCTCATGTCACCACAATTATGATCAAACATTATGATCAACCAAGGACAACCAATTATTGCCTTCACCCCCCCCAACCAAAGTCAAACAGAAACTGCTGATAACCTCAATGCCGGCACCACCAGCCAACATCAAACAGAAAAAGAGGGTTGGATCCCACCACCAGTTTCCCTACCATCACTTGCCGCCATCCACACTCAACAGCACTGGCACCAGCAACCCATAATAACCAACCATCTTCAACAACAACAACCACGATCAAAACATTAGCCACCAACAGCCACACCGGACCCACTGCCATTGAAGCAGCAGAAAACTGCCCCCCCTTTCTACAGCCAACAAGGCACCACCGCTATTCCCAAGGCCCTCACTTCGAATCAGCAATGAGCGACCAACAGTGATGGAACAGTACCATCACCACCCGGCTTTGCGTGATGACTGCCTTCCTGGCACAGATCAGCCTTCCCACTGAAACCAACCCACCCCCAACCCCCAACGTCCAATGCCAGCTGGCGCCAGAAGCAACCATCACCACTACCACCAACCCATCCATAAGAACCATGGTCACCACCAACTTGCAACAACCAACAGCAACGACTACCATCACGACCAACAGCACCAACAAACCCACCACCAATGTGCAACAGCAATCCCTCTGCAACGACCAAGAATGAGTTGGCTGACTCATGGCTGACTCTCACCATAGGATCACCCACTGTGGCAGTTTCTGTGTATAGAGCGCATATTATGTGCTCTGTAAAGCATGTTACGAACATTGTTTCGTTGACTCTTTCGTTGTTTTTTTTTTTTAAGTGGAGGTACTGGGAATAGAACAGGACCTCATGCATGCTACGCATGATCTCTACCACGGAGCCATCACCCTTCCCCTTCATTGACTCTTTGGTGTCCATCACCCCTCCAGAAAGATGTCAGCACCCCTAGACAGAGGTATTGGCCTCATGGATGGGTTCCACTCTTGTTTCTCTTCCGTAGTCCTCTTGGGTGAGTATCTCCCTTCCCAGACCCGGGTGGCCAAGCACATCTTTGACTAAGCATGTCACGTAGCTTCCTTGGGACGGGTTGCTTCTCTCTCAAGCAGGAGATTGTTCCCTGTGTTCCTTTGATCAAAGCCTGCCCACCTGAGCTTCTGAGTCTTCCCAGCTTGGCTCTGTCTTGGAAGAATTTCCATCCCAAGCCCAGAGCTCTAGTTGATGGTTTGTTCGTGAACTAACCAGAGGGGTCCTTGGCCAGTGATGCCCAGTTTATCACTGGCTTTCTCCACTAAGATGTTCTTTCCTAGGCTAACGCAAGCCCTGCCTCCACCTTGGTCAGTCGCCTGCTGCGTGCAACTGGCAGTCACTCTGCCGTTGACACCACTGGCTCTGTGACTGGCCAGCCACACGCCCTCATTGACAGAATGACAAAAAATGAAAGCTGAAGTGGCTTGCAGATGCATAGAGCTGTGGGGGCAAAGTTTATAGCCTGCCTGGACTCCCTCTTAATGTGTGTGACATGATGCTACTGGGTCTAGACCCATGACAGTGATAGTCTCCCCAGCCCTGTCACCACAGTCATCATCAGACCTCAGCCTCACCAGGAGGCGATGCCCCTGGCTTCAGTGTCTTCCCTGCTGCCCTCCCATTGTGGCCGTGCTGTGTCTCACCGCCTCCTGTTTCTGTGATCGCTATAGCCAGATCACCCAGTCACCCATGCAGGTGCACTGCCACCACACCATCACTGCTACCCACCACCCAAAGGACACAGCCATAGACTCAGAGTGGCTGAACCCAAGACCCTCTGAAGGGTTGAATGGTGAGGTCCTCCACATGCCTCCCATATCTTGACAGGTTTCTAAATATGACATGTATGGGAACCGAGGCCCACAGAGGGGAAGTGACTTGCCCAAGGCCACGCAGGGAAAAGAGGCACCAAACTCGGCTGGGAACTGGCTTCCCTAACCCCAGGAAAGTGGTCTATCACTGTCCTGGTGGACGCTGGGTGATCCCTCCAGGCCACCTTCTGTTCTCCAGTTACTGCTCTATCCTTGGTGCCCCATCTGCATCCTGGCATCCCGTGCACCATCAGAGGGGAGTTTGGTCCCTGGTGGGGAATGCTGGGAGCGTGTGAGTTGCACTGGGGGACCCTAAAGTTCTGCTGTGCCCCTTCCCATTGCCCCACTTTCTGATGGTGGCCTCCAGGTACCTCCACCTGGCTGGTCCCCCCACCCCTGCATTTTAAGGCGCACCCTGAGGGACTTACCATGGTGGGGGTCGTTTTCTGGGCCCCTGGGGGGAGCCTGAATGGTGGTGGTGGGGGTACAGGCTCAGGGGGCTCCTGGGGGCGGCTCGGGCATGGCCCTGCTCCTGCTCTTTCAGCGGACTCCCAGCCCTGGTTCCTCTTACAACAGCCCCCTTCTCACTTCCTTTGACGGGAGGGGCCCGCGGCTACAGAGGAGGGAAGCTGGGCCCTGGGGGCGGGGAGAGAGCCTAGATGGGGCCGAGGCAGCTGGTTGTCTGGGGCTCTGAGCCTGAAGGGAGAGGTCAGAATCGATGGCAGCGGCTGTCAGACCCCAGAAAGCTGCATCTCCAACTTTGCCAGGTCGCCGCTGCAGCAAACAGCATGCAGATCAGCTAGCTGCAGGACTGACTGCTCTCTCCAGGGGCACCCCCAGGAGGCATTTGAGCTGCTGAGATCTCTTGGAAATCACTTCGGGTGTGTGTCCGTTCTGGGCATCCCTGAGCCAGCTCCCACTTCCAGAGCCACCTCTACAGGTCCTTCTTCCAGAAGGGACCCGGGAGCCACCTGTGTTGGTGTCAGGGGGAGGGCAGCGGGAGTGGAGGGTGCCAAGACCCAGGGACACCCTGAAGGTCCCAGACTTTGGATGTCAACTGGAATTCCAAGCCCCCCAGCTCTGCTAGTTCCGAGATCTCCCCCATTTCCTCATCATAAAACGGAGGCGGGGGCCCTCCCAGCAGCGCCCGGCACACAAGGGATCCATCCAGTGTTGGCCCATCTCCTGATCTTTGGGAGACCAGCAGGCCACGTCCGGGTCTCTAGGCATTTGAGGAAATGGCAGTTCCGAGAGGCTATCACCTCCTCGTGCCACCCAGCGAGGAGGTGGCGGAGACAGAAGTCCGACCGGGGAGAGCCGGCGGCTAGGGATATCCCTGAGCCCCGGGCGGCGCACAGCATCCGGCCTGGAGGGTGGCGCTCCGCGGCGCCCCCTAGTGGCCACACATGGGGAGGAGCCTGTTTCTCCCCGGATCGCCCGCGCAAGTTTGCTGAACCGACTGGCTTGGCGCTCGCAAAACTCAACACCGCCTCTAGACACTAGGAGTGAAGAACCTCACCTTGTTGGGGGCATCAGGGTAGGCTTCTGGGTGGAGGCACCGTTTGTACTGAGACAGCAGGGTGAGTGGGGGTTCACCAGGTGAAGAGGGAAGGGGAGGATACCTCTGGCAGAGGAAACAGCTCTAGCAGAGGCCTCAAGATGGGACGGTGGTGGGAGATTGAGGAACTTCCAGGAGTCTAGTGCGGCTGGAATATGCACAGTGACGAGGAGTGTGGTCACTGGGATGGCAGGCGACAGACTGGGTTGCTTTGAGAGCCTCCGTGAGAAGCTGTATTTTTGACCTAAAATCACCGGGCTCCGGCCTGTGTTAGTAAAATCCCCCTTTGGGCTGCTGGGGGCCACCTGTGAGCGGCTGTGGCCGCTTCCAGGATGGGGTGAGGGTTGAGGGACAGCTGAATGTGACCACGGACGCACACGCACACACACAACCTCGCACGGAAATCTACACAAGACAGAACTTTATTGATGTAGGGCTTCCTGGCGAGGGGTGTTTGGGCCCCAGGGCAGGGCCTGTAGCACCATGATGGGGGTAGGCCTGGAAGATGGGGTCCCCCTGGGGCAGATCTAACCAGCTCTTCGTCACCCCTGTAGCTGGTCTGGTCAGGGGGAGGGAGTCAGGGAGGTGGTGCTAATCCCCTCCCCCATAGCGGACAGAGACCCCCCCCCCGCTCAAAGTGGAGGGGTAGGGCAGTGCTGGTGGGGCCAGGGCAATGGCTGACCCCCTTCCCACCCCCACTCTTCACAGTACGTATTCCGATCAAAGGCGGGGGTAGTGTTGGGTACTCGCTAAGGATGGGTGGAAAGGGCGCTAGGGTGAACAGTTGTTCCCACCTCAAACCCACCCAGGAGGGAGGTCTCACTATGAACTGGGAGAGGGACAGAGGAGTGGCCCTGGGCATGGCCAGCCCCTCTCCAACCCCCACCGGGGGCCCTGCAGGGGTTCCCAATAAATAACCTCCGGCTCTATCTCACCCTTCACTCCCAGCTCCCGCCCCCTCGGGCTCCTTCGGGCTGGCCAGCTGCAGGCTGGTCCCCCCACTCCCAGCTGGCGCTCAACTGTAGCTCCGAAGGCCGCGCGCCCCCTAGCGGCCCTGGCAGGTTTTGCAGCACATCTGGCGGAAGTAGGCTCGGCTGCAGAACTGAAATTTCAGCACCAGGGGGCAGTAGGCGACCTTGTTCACATCCTTGCACTCTGGAGGAGGGTAGGAGGGAAATGTCTCAGCGTATCCCTTCCGCAAGGGAGCGACCGCCGCCCTCACCGCGCTTCCCAGCTTCTCCGGGCCTCGGTTTCCTCACCTCTCAAAGGGGGCTTCAATAGTAACTACGTCATTAGGTTGTTCAGAGAATTTTCAGAGAGTGCAGGTCTGGGATTTGGATACCGTATTAAATCATAAGAGAAGTGTTCCTTTTCCAAGTATCCTTTTGGGGCTGTAATTCTTGTTCGTTACCCTTTGTAACAGACAGGACCTCGAGCTCCAGTGCGCTCACCCCTTTCAGAATATTTGTGTATTTCGTGTTCAGGATCATTGGCAGGCTGTTCATGACAAGGGATGCAGGCTTCCACCTACCCACCAGTTAGTGAAGTAGGACAGGGCCTGGTGCTAACAAAGGGCTTCACGTGGATTAAGTCTCTCTCTCTAGTGTGGCACCCCCCTTCCTCCGAGTGAATATATTAACCCCCCCCATAAGAAAATGAAGGCACAGAGGTAGAAAGTGAATACAGGCAGTTTGATTCCGATGCCTGGAGTAAGTAATCTATATTGCTCTTTATGAAAAATAAATTTGCTTAGGAAGAAAAAAAAAGGGGGTATATTTAAAGCAGTGGTTGACAAGGGGATGCAATTTTGTCTCCCTGGGGATATTTGGCAATGTGTGGAGACATTTTCAGTTTTCACCACTGGGAGGAGGGGTACTAATGGCACCTAACAGGTAGAGATCAAGCCTGCTGAACAGCCTACAATGCACAGGGCATTCCCACAACAAAGGACACCTGGTCTACAACATCAATGGTGCCTGAGGCTGAGACACTCTGATTTAAAGAAAAGATTAAAAAAAAAACTTAGGCAAATAATGTTCTAGATGGAAAAGAATAGGGTGAAGGTCATGGAGGTGGTTGGAGAAAGGACCTGAGGTTGGGTCCCCAGAAAAATCAGGTGCCTAAAACGCTTGGCACATGGCGGCATCTAATACACGTTTGCAGGCAGGGGAGGGTGAAAGATGGTCTGGAGAAGACAGAGAAAGGCATTTCAGGGATTGGAAAAGTTCTAGGACTGGTCAGGACCCCCACTCTCTCCTACGGCTGCCTCAGAACAGGGCCCTGCTGGTGCCTCTGGGCTTCCCGCCCCCACATACCTTCCAGGCCGTCCCCAGGAGGCGCGCTGTCGCACCTGGCCTCGCACTGCTGCGTGGCGGGTGGCCGTAGAGCCTCGGCGCACTCGCGTGATGGCTGGCCCGTGTGGCTGGAGCAGCGCACGGGGCGCTGTTGCTGCCCAAAGCCGCA